TCCTTCCATAGTTATCACAAAGATTTGTCTTAGCATTATTGGCCAAGAGAAATTTTACAATGTCTTCTTTACCTTGAGAACAGGCAAGGTGAAGGGCAGTTCTAACCAAAAGGAAATTGGAAGGGAAATTTGTTAATCAAAATTGATATTTAACTATCTTGGGTGAATTTTTAGACCATAGAATATGCTTAAAATTGTCTCTCTACATGGCTGAAATAATTTCTCCACGATTCCACCTCGGCCTCATCAAGCAATTTGGCACTACTTGCTATCTCGCTGAGTACAGCCCTGCTTCAAGAAAATTATTAATCTACATATTTGTTGGTAGGAAAATTAATTTCTGCAGTCACCAAACAAGTTGTATTAAAAAATGTCACAAGTGACGGATAAATTTTTTTCGTCAACGATCGATCTGATCGTAAAAGTCATTTCTTGTGGTCACCAGCTGTGTAAACTGACTTATCATGGTGTTACTAAGCCCAATAACAATAATCAATGACGACCACGATAAAATATTTCAATTATCTCGAACAAAGCAAAGGCAAAACCATCATCACATACTTTGTTTATATAAAAATACGATTACAGTAATTTAGATACTGGAAAACAGAACTGATTTTTTTGGCAGTATAATAATACGAAACAGCACTTTTCAAAAGTCATATGTGTCCAACGATTTGCGGAATACATGTCAAGTAGGCTGTGGGTTGTGTATTTTTAAATGGGATGAAAGCCAGAGGACGCTAACCGAGTAACCAAAGAAACGACATATCTTGACCGCGACTCGGAAGAAATTGCGATCGCTTTTCAACAGTAAACCAATATTTCCTTATTTTTACCTGTTTTCCTTGTCAAGCTGGTTGACGTCTCCTTTCTTTGCCAGCTGTTTCACTTTGGTCAAATCTCCGCTCCACACAGCTTTATGAAGCTTAGGTAGATCTTTGTCTTTGGAGATCGAGTAACCAGAAGCAATGCTAGCGGCATCACTAAGGTCTTCGGTTGACAGTGTGTTCTTCGCACTGGGACTCTTCTTTTTGAAGAATTTTTTAAAGCCAGACATGGCGATAAGGGTCTCTCTAATGTATAATGTAGTATTATGTATTAAGTGTTGATGTCATTTTTAAAGTTTTCGCAGAAGAACTTCAGATCGGCAGTTAAGCTCAAGTTGAGTTGATGTAAATTAAGTACCAGACCTCCCTCTGAGGAAAAACTATTTACCCATGAATCTCTTCGGTATAGCTTAACACTTTCAAAACTCCCAAAAATTTTTACAGTTGTGTACTGAGTCGCCAAGCCTTTGATTTGTAGTGAGGCTGAAAGTGATCTTGTTGTGATAGAGACCAGTACCT